AGGTTTCGCTTGTAATTATTGAGCTTTATGGTAATAGCCTGTCTAACATCCAAAAGAAATCTACCCTTGAAAAAAGAGAGAAAGGCCAGAGTGCTCCTTAAACGAGCTGCTGGCGCAATTAAAACTACGCTGAACTTCGGGTGCCCAATTTTGCCTTATAACTTCAAAGAGAAGCCAAGTTTCGCACGAATAAGGGCGTTAACAATGAAATGGGCGCTCGAATTTTCATGCAAAAGTGAACCTATTTTCAATACAGGGCTATGCATGTTGTGTGAGCCGCCTGCGCCGCGAGACGGTTACAACGAGCGGCGAGTCAAGTGCCCTCTCGGACTAAGCTTGAAGCGCGCGGCGAAAAGGAAACGCGGCGACTGAAGAGCCGTCTCCTTCTTCTCCCACACTTGCCGGATGACTGTAGGATATAGCAAAGGTGTGCGTTGTATGTATATACATTCTAAACGTTTTCACATCTCGCTCTCGCTCAACACTCTCGAGGCCGCTTTTCTCTCCCTCTCTCTCTCATCTTTGAAGTCGGTCTGTAGCCTTTTCCACTCTTGCACTTGTGTATGGAGGCTATAAGTCAGTCGTCTATAAACTTAACTAAGATTGTAACGTGCGCACAGCTATCGGGCTTTCTCTCTTAATAGGACACTCTTAACCGTGAGAGAAAGAGAGAGAGAGAGAGGAAGAGGAAAGAACGCCAAGCCTTGTGACATTTCAATTTCTCGGAGAAGAATGAAACGAGGCGAGGGAAATTGTCGCTGCCGTTCGCGCCTGCGCGACCCAGCTTGATGGGCGGGATAACGAATGCGCGAGTAACTTCGTCAAACGAGTTTCTTACTCCCGCTCTCTCTCTCTCTCTCTCTCTCTCTCTCTCTCTCTCTCTCTCTCTCTCTCTCTCTCTCTCGCTTGGCTCCAAGACGACGACGAGGATGATTAAACGTTTTTGTGCTGTAATGCTAGTTTACTCGATGACGGCTTTTGTACTTGGAAATCTATTATGCTCCTAACAATTATCGTTTTTTTGCTAATTTAACCCCTTTTTCAGGCAAAGTAATTGTTAAATTGCGTTCTTTCGAGTACGTTCAAGTACATTTTTCTCGTATTTTCAGCAATGCAAACATGGAATTGACTTTCCATGTTTGCATTGAGCAATTGAAATGAGCAATTCTTTCCGAGAAGTTGGTTTACTTGTTAATACACTAATTTCCGGAGGTGAATTTATGAAACGCTTTTATGAAACAGTATCTATTTGTGATGATATTAAAGAAAATTTCAGGAAAATTAACGCTCATTACTACTACGATCTATAAAAACAAATTAACTTTTTTGTTTTTAAAATCACCTCAATTATTATCGACACCAGTTTTGCTCGATCGCCAGCTTTAATAACCGCACCAAATAATTAGATTGTCTTTCTCCACTTTTCTTCAAATATAACGAAGAACCCCGTTAATCTGAGCTTGTCGATCAATGTTACAAGAGTTGGAAGAAAAACGCGAATGGCAGAGAGAGAGAGAGAGAGAGAGAGAGAGAGGCACGGGTTGGGTGTTAGTCAGATCTCGTTAGGAGTCATTGAAGTGGTGGGAAAACGTTCGCCGAGAAGCGCGTGTGCCAACACAAATTGCCTTCGGAGTTATATATATAACTGCCGCAGCGCAAGAAACATCTTCGTATTGATTTAATTTTCTATTGTGAGTTTACTTTCATTAACAAACTTATTTAATTTAATTTTGAAATCTAATGTTTACGTCTGACGTATATTGAATATAATGCAATCGTTCACAACATTGATATTCGTGTTTATCGAAAAAATCCATCCCCCTTTCACAACGTTATCACATCAAGCATTCACAAGTGCAGCTTGACAAGCTCACCTATCCGCATTGCGGCTCTTTTCAACGTGAGCTCTGCACATTAGCACGACAATGCTTGGCGCACGTATATATAACGTTTCTCATGTAAATTTACAGGCGCGTCCTTTTCTACTACACTCAAGTCTTATCTTTCTAGCTCTCCTCGCGCACCCTTAGCCGCACGAGAGTGGAAAAAAAATCGTACACTCGACTTGCGTTAATCTGTCGTTTAGATCTCGCTCCCTTAAGAAGCTCTCGCGCGGATCTATAATCTTCTCCGGCAGCGACACGCAAGCTAAGATCGTCGTGGTTTACATAGATCGCGCGGCGTCATCTGATTAATTCGATACATATATATGTATATATAAATATATATATAGGTGCGAAACTAGAGGCGTTCCTTCCTCTACGTATTTTTTTTTTGTCGACGGGGTGAGAGCCCGTAGGGCACGTACGTTCGAGCGTAAGGGCAAGAATGGGCTTGAGCTGGCGAGGAGCGCAGCCCCCGGAAGTTCCATTGACCCTCCGGTGGGCGGAAGTCTGCTAGAGACATTTCGATTAACCTCGCAGCGGGCGCTCGTAAAATCTCTATAACGCGAAGGCAACCACCCTTCCAATATGACTTTTCATTTTTAGCGTTTTCATCCCGCACCCGTGCGCCGAACGATTAGTATGTACACCACTGCTATGGAAATTTACTCGTTTTATCTTCGTTCAAGTGTTTAATTGTTCTGTATAGCAGAAAAAATAAATTCTCATTTATCTATTCATGTATGGAAAAGACTGCAAGCCTGATTAATATAAGTATTATGTAAAACACACTGTAAAAAATATATCGATTCTAGGTTTAATAATTTTAAAGATTAATTTCCGAGGAATATAGTCATAAAAATTCGTCTTTACTGTTACAATTTTTTCTCTAAGCAAATATATTTCCATCAAACCATCAACATCAAACTATTTCGAAGACGGAATTAGTTCTTTGTTCCAGTTTAAATTTTTGTTACGATACTTAGTATTTCTTAAAACATCTACATCTTTATTAGTTCTTTTGATAGATATAAATTTGTATACCACTTGCACTGCACTGTAAGCTTAATTTTCATATGATTTACTAATTGTATTAACAGTAGCTACCATTTTAAGAAACTACACCTTGTATCACAAAACGAACTTGAGTCATTATGTTAAATTTATAAGCTGGATCCCATGGTTACTTTTGGGGAATAGTTCAACAAATAAAATTTTCTTGAGACACAATAGGGCGATCTAGCAATTCATATATTTTCCATTGTTTTTTTCATTCAAAGTCTAAGAATGATAAGTTTCTAAATAAACGGCATCCAATCAAGAGTCTTTCATTTTCTAAGGACGGTTTTGTTACAAAGAGGGCCGTCCTTCTTTTCGTCTTTCCGGAAAATTAAAGTATTAATTCAAAGCAATTCTTTATAAAGTGCCGAGAAAGAATAAAAAAAGAAAGTCTTCCCCCATGAAAGAAACAGTTGAAAAGGCGCCGCGAATGATATTTCTATATATCGCGTAACTATGAAACCCGTAATCTGTAGGCTGCACGCGCGTAGAAACGTAAGCCCTTTTCTACTAGTATATTCAATTCTTAGAGACGCCGACGAAGAAAAGGGAAGGGGATAAAGAGAAAGCGGAGAGAAAAAGGTAAACGCACGTGCGGAGGGTAAAAACTGCTCCTTGCGAGGGAAGTCCGAGCGAAAGCGCGGAAATCACTAAAATAAAGTCAAGTTCTCTCGCGATGAAGAAAAATTATAGAGATAAAGGCACACAGTCAGCGGTTAGCTGAAAAAAACGGAGATGAAACTGGACGAAATAAAAACTGTATATATATATATATATATATATATATATATATATATAAAATGCTTGGGTTCGCAAGACTCATCACCAGGGATTCATTCCCTACTCTGAGTCGCGCTCACTTGGTTGGGGGGGTGAAAGAACGTCGAAACAAAAGACGGGCTTGGTTGTGTGCGCCGCTCGCGCTCTGATTGGCCGGCCAAGTCGAGGCCTGGGGCGCTGATTGGCCGCCCCGGGACCGCACCCATCCTGCAATGGCCGCTTTGTTGGCTCGACTCTGCGGACTGTACGTGTGTGTGTGTGTGTGTATATGTGTATGTCTCACCCCATTCACTATATAACTCTCTCGTTCGCTTCGTGAGTTTTTTATGCGCTCGCGCACACCCAAACGTCTGTCCTCCTTCGCAGCGGGGAAAATTTCGGGCATGTATGCGCGCGTGTGTGAGATCGCCACGCAGACTATAAACTGTACCCCACTCTCTTTCTCTGCGCGTATGTGCATGTAGTTCGAGCGCTTGTATTTTGACTTGGGGACTCTGGCAGATGTTGATTTACAGGTGGGAGGGATAATGGCTGGAGAAGTACTGTGTCGAAAGTAGCATGACGGACGACCGGCTGGAGCCTTCATGAGTGTATGTATGTGAACTCTTTCGATGTGTTAATCAAATTCGATTTTAAATATTTTATTATGGAATATTCTATTCGATGCAGAGTCTCTCATTTGCAAGTTTTTTATTATTATCCGCAGATTATCAAAGGACCTCGACAACTCTTTCATTCAAATCTTACTGGATCAAATTATTCAAATATAATCATTTTTGGTATGCAATTTTAATTATCATTTCTATAATACAATGGATGATAATACAGAACTACAAATATGTACGTGCATTGAAACGGTTTTTAATAATTAACTTTGATAGATTAGCATCCTTCAACAACATTTTATTGCAGAATTCAAAAGATATTTCTAAATATTATATCATATACACTAAAGTAGTACATCATATTGCATTTTACCGTGAGATACTTTTGTTTCAAAATAATAATTTCCGTGATATGGCAAGAAAGAAAACTATGAAACAATGGGATTTGACTACAAAAGATTAAAATATGTTTGAAAATATGAAGCTATAAAATTTAACTAAAGATTTTAAGCGATTCTAAAAGTTTCTTTTAATAATGAAAAAATTATAAAGCATTATGTGACTTGGTGCAATTTTATTTAATGAAATATTTTAACAGTATATAAAATAGTTGACAGAGTCATTTAAAAATAAATATATATCCGAAATACGTTAAATAATATTAATGGCTTACTTGTATCCTGTCTTCCGGTAAATCTGTCCTAAGGCTCAACATTTCGCGTGCGTAGACGTCGGGGTAGTGAGCCTCTTTGAACGCTGTCTCCAACTCCTCCAGCTGCGCAGTCGTGAAAATCGTCCTAGAGCAACAACCATATGAACCTAGTTATATGCCATTACAGCTCGTCCCTTAAGTCTAAATCTTATTGATATGTTTCTTGATTATATGTAATAAACAGTTCGGAAAGAAATTATACATAATTAATGTAACTTTTATAAATAAAGTTGAATCGGAATTGATACTAACAAAATCTGAATCTTATGTGATATACAAGATTGGTAATACTAACACGCTAATCTTTTTACAGATTTCTATAGTTTTTATTACTTATATATATTACTTAGAAATAAGTATAATCCATCATTTAGTTGCGAAAGAAACTAAGCAAATGAAGCTTGAGCAGGCATAATGCACTCAAAATAGCAAGATAATTAAAAAAAATTTTGAAAGCCAGCGTATGGCAATGCAAAATATCTATATAATTTGAATCTAAATACGGAAATTTTATCTGTCGAAATGCAACGATTGGCTGGCCAAAATGAGCACACTTATTTCTCGTTTATTTTTTAACAATAAATAAACTGAAACTTATGGTTTACGCGAGGATGATAGAAATAAAGCGAACGAATTGCCATGTTGGTAAATTGACGGTTGTCCGTGAAGCATCTGTCAAGCGCGAAATATCCTTGTACAAGAAAGTGAAAGTCACTTCCCGCGATCATCGCCTCATTAAGCCGCCGATGTTTTCTTTCTCTTGTAGGGAGAAAACCGTTTCATCGTTTAAGCTCCGACTGTATAATTTTGATCGGTATGAATTTTGTAATATATAAAGACCTCGCTGAAGCAGATCTCCAGTTTTTTGTTTCGTCATTTAATTGAGCCGCACACGATTTCTCAAACGGCTCGCGGAATGACAATCAAATTTAGACGACGTGCGTGGTCGCGAATTCTTGTTTCAATATACGTAAAACATATTTCATATAGTCTCATGCAAATATATGTTGTTATACCGATAACTAAGTATTTTAACAAATAGGAAATATGCAAAAATATATAAAATAACGTTGTACGAGTTTTTCGCGGCATTTGATTGATAATTAAGCGCATGACACTCAGTTAGAAAAGTACTTGAATATATTAAGGAAGAAATTATTCTGTCCAAGCCTCTCTTTCTTCCGAAAAAGAAAGGATCAATAATAATTTTCAAGCATTAATTATAAAAAACCTTTTCTGAAAGAGCTTTCTCCCTATCAAAGTAGAGTTTCATTGGATCAGGAGACACAGCAAAGGAAATCTCAAAGTCGACAATAATGAGAGTCAGAGAGAGAGAGAGAGAGAGAGAGATTCGCGTGGGTTTGAATTCTTTCAAAATGGCCGACGAGGTAAATGGGGATCCCTTAGTTAATTCCCTATAGCGTCACGTCATGGCAGTCGGGGAGTTATGACGAGGGGCCAACTTTTATTCGTATCCCGTTTGCTAATTTCAAGCTGATGATTCTTTTGCTATAAGACACTATTTTGATGTGATATTGATTTTGATATTTTTTCATTCGCGATACAAAAATATATTTCTATTAATCAGTTGAATAATCTTAAAAGAATGAGAAAAAAGAACGAATGTTTTCAAAAATTAATACATCAAACTATTATCAAGGCCTCACCTATGTCTGCGTTTTTTCTTTTTCTTTTTACTGTATCCTGAAAGACCGTCGACTGTAAAATCTTTTCCGGCTTCGATGCTGTGCCCGACACCTGTAACACAAAAATAATGACAATTATTATATTAATGAGAGCATGAATTATATTAATCTTCGAGTAAATTTGGAGCTGCAGTATTTTGAGAGTAAAACTATTCTGGACAAATTATTCCTAAGCAATCATTTATTGAATATTGAAGAAAAACTTCACTGTTTGTAAAATTAATGCAAATGCTTTATAGTTAATTTCGACAATAATAATATATGAAATCGAATGTTTTAATTTATTTATACCTACATGGAATACACTGTCGATATTACAGAAATCATCGCTTTAAAATAGAATTTTTTTATATGAAAATACTATGTTACTAGTAAGAAATAATTTTCATAATTTTTCATTGCTTAAAAAACAAATGATTAATCTACTGTTTTTATATAATACGAGTATTGCTGATTCGAAACCTATTTAATTTTGGGATAATTTCAATAAGTAGTTGTATATTCTATTCACTTAAAAATTACATATTTAATTTCTCATAGGATTTTTTAACGTAACATTGAATTAATCAATGAATTATTCAAATGTCTATTCCGACATGAGAAACTAATAACTTTTTGGTAAACAAAACTTTTAATGGGGTATTTTTTTATCGATGCCATTATCTCATATAGTTTAACGGTTGCTGTCGTACGAATCATTGTATTACACTAAGACACAGAAAGCTAAACTTATTTATTTTAATTTTTCTTATTGTGTAAGTGTCAAAATATAACACAAGATCATAGAATCAAAAGTTTTGTTAAATTTAAGAAAAGCATGTCCGATTACCGTTAATTTTTAATATGAATAAAAATGTGAGTTCTAAAATTTGTAAAAGAGTCCGGAGCTTTTATCAAATCGTTTTGTGGTATTCTGATGAATAAATGATTTTTCTTCTAGACTTTAGATGTAAGTATTTTCTTGCATCTTATAAAAAATACTACAAGAAACTAATTTAGTCCAAAATTGTACAGCCCTTAAGTAATTGTATTGTTACATGTATAAAAATGTTATGAGAACGAAAGAAGCCCACTGTATAAGTATGCTTTGATGTGAGTATTTTTGTACAGAAGTATATTCGAATATTGTTAAATATCTACTTTATTATTAAGATAATTAGTTTGAATTATTGTATACGCCACGTCCGTTTTCCCCTTATAAAAAGTGATGGATGCCATATTAAAGCATTTTATTCGTGATCTAATTGGCTGAGTTATAATCACGTGATATGCGGTTATGGCAGCAAATATGTATGTCGATGTGATTTCAAGTTGTGATTTTAGTAATAAAAATTTATTTTATCATAAATGGTACGGATAATTCTGAAGATAATAAAAATAAAACAAGTATGCTGCATTGTTGTTATTTTTACAGTCATTTTATAAAACTAGCAACAAGTAAATCGTTTGATAAAAGCGAGAGGTCATTATGCTTTTGAATTATTTTGATAATTTGATTTTTGAACGTGTAAGATTGAAAAAAAATTTGTGATATCGTAATCTATTATTAAATAAAATCGTTTGATAAAAATGAGAGGTTATTGGCTTTGGAATTATTCTGATAATCTGATATTTGAACTTGTAAGATTGAAAAAAATTTTGTAATATATAGATTGTTTATATCCGTTTTCGATATAATTCATAAATTTAGAATACGCGGAACTATTTTACTAACACAAGTTTTCCACCATGATATGCGTTTTGTAACTGTAAAATATGTTAATCGACATGACCAGAAATAAAAAAGTAGATGAAAGTGGGCGGAACGCGTCCGATGTCGCTAGTATTATAAATCATAAATGTAAATTGGTATACGTGCGATTTCTACTAAGTTTGCATGCATGTAATCTGATACCCGCGTGTTTTGTCATCTATACTGTGTGCTAACAAAACATGAAAAGGGAGAATCAGAGAGTGAAAAAGAACAGCAAGAAATTGATCGCGAGCTGCAAGTAGAAAGGTTCTCGTTCGCTGGTATACGTAAAATGAACGATGGGGAACGAGGAGAAAAAGAGTAGCTCAAAGTATGAAAACGAAGTCGTAAGAATAGGGAAAAGAGTGAGAGCGAGAAAGGAAAAAGAATGTCAGTTTAAGTAGGAAAGCTACGAGATCTGCTTGAGAAGGGTCGCTTTAAAAACAATATTCACTCGCGAGTCGGACGGCCGGCGCCAGATGGCTGATGTTACCGTCTTATTCGAAAATTTTTTCACGCGAAAGAAGCGAAGAAAGAAAAAAGAAAACAGGCGATCAAAAGATCTAACAAGTCACTGTACTTGGGGTAATATGTTGACTTTTGACTGCGAATAGAAGACATTTTTAAAACATCATTATTTTCTTTGCTTTTGATAGCTCGAATCACACTTACATACACGTGTATAAATAAACGTACATCCGTATCATAGATAAATAACGCATATGCATCTATTTCATGTTTATAATCATTATGAGCGCGATAGCTAGACTGTTTTTAGCGCGGAAAAGACTTTCCAGTGGTTTGCGATTATTATGTAGAAAATTGTACGATTCGATACATGCGATTTTTAAATTCAGCTTATATTTATTACCAGAGCAAAAGTGTATTTGTCTCGATCGAATGACATATTTTCTGCAAGCTCTTCACCCGAGCTTGGAATATAATTTCACAATTACATAATTAAATAAAGCACATTCTAATTTAATAATTAGAACAGCACGCATTTGATATGCTGTATAATGATTAGTCTCTGCGTTCGTTATCATTTCAGCGTGTGAAAGCAATATCCATTCACAATATTTCGGTGAACATTTGAGAACTAATAAGCTCGAGCTGAACGTGATATAAAAGAAAAAAGCCCCGCAGAAAGCAAGGAACTGCAATAAACGAATAAATTCGTGACTGTGTTCTCGCGCGCATTACCCGACGTGCACGCGCTTTCGCGGAGTGCAATTAGTCTAGGTACACATAATTGGGATTAAGCTCTTAATTAATAGTTAATTAGCCGAGCACGCTCGGAAGTTCTCTCTTTTTTTTTTTGCTCGCTAAGCTATCATTGCACGAGGTCGTTCGTGCGTGTGCGCCTGTATGTGTGTTTACGCGCGCGTACACACATAAGACCGAAAAAGTATACTCGTCCGTTCACACATGCACGTGCACGTCTATACGTGTAACATCGACGTACATGGGGGCGCGTTCTGTCTGTTTCTCACAGCCACAGGCATACAAACATACTCACGTATTTGCGAGCGAGCGAAACTGGTGAAGGTTCGTATGTATTGTGAGTTGATTTGCGCGCACGTGTGAGTGCGGCGCTTCTGATGATGCTCTCTCGTTTAATTTGCATTTCTGCTCAATTTTCGCTCGCGCGAATTATAATTAATTCTGGTTTTCGTCGGTTTTTTCCTCCTCTTTCTTTCAGCTCCACTCCCAAATTTCTAACAGTGCGCGTGCGTATGTATGTTATGCATATATATGCACATATATACGTATATATGCTGCATGGAGAATTTCATTAGATCAAAATTAGCTTCTGGCGTAATTAAAATTGTGTACTCGCAATCATAATTAACTTTCAGATGTTGTCTCTTATGCATTACGAGTAGATTCTTCGACACAGAACATAGGTAGCCTGATATGCAAAATCTTTCTAGTTTATATTTAATGATTTACACTATGTTCTAGAACATATTTTGTAGGATACATCAATTGTATATTATTTAGCCTGTCCACATATTTCGTTCTATTTTGATATCAAAGATGCCATATCATTGAAATAAAGTTTCCACATATTATATCTATATAAACCAAATAATAAAATCCTCTTTTCAAGTGGCTTGAGAATAATACTGGTGTAAATTCTGAGACTTTATATACACTGCTATTTGATTTCTATAAATTCTCATGAAAAAATCATCGTTACCCATATATCAATAGGACCCGAATAAAACTGCTACAAGATATTTATGAGACTTGAAAGTTTCATGTAACAAAAATTTTAGAGCAACAAACACGTCAACCGCAGCAAATTCTCCGTGATGGAGATAAGCATGAAAAATGATACAAAAACTAGGAATATAAAGTTATGAAAGTTCGGTTCATCAAAGAAACTCCTAATTTACGCCGGAGTTCTTCTGAAGGATAATACGACTAATTAACGCCAAGAGCTGCAGCTTATAAAAAAATTGTCCGAGCAAAAAGAAATGAAATAGACGAGAAAGATAAATACACGGAAAAGCAGAAAAGAGGCGAAACGAAGACGGCAAGCGAGCTAAATAGATAGAAAACGTCAAAACGTAAAAGGGACAAAGAGAGGATGCACGTATAGTAAGCCCACTGAGTAAGCTCGGAACACAACCGAACGAGAGCGAGAAAGAGCGAGAAAGAGCGAGAAAGAGCGAGAGAAGGAGAAGGAGAGGGAATCGAGTGAAGCACAGACAACGCGAGTAAGCTGGCACACGTACATCCGCACACATAGAGACGTCGAGCAGAGCGCGAAGACACAGAGGGAGGCAAAAAGGGGGAGGTGTGCGGTGGTTAGCGGGAGAGAAACGGACCGGCGGCGGTGGCACATGTCGCATATACATCGGGGCGCGCGTTACCAGGCAACGGGCAATAAAGGAGCGCCTGGATGGCCAATGCCGCGCCCTCCGCAGTCGCGCGTATACCCCCCTCCCCCGCTCTCTCTCGCTCTCTCTTTCTCTCGTCCCCTTCGCTTGTTTTGCACAGACGGAATGAGTGTGAGAGAGAAAGAAAGCTTCTATATACTTTAGTGGCTGTTAAGGTCTCAAGGCGAGGAGAGACGAACCCTCTCCTGCTCCGTAGTACCACCACCGCATACTACCGATAATTGATATTCTAATCCGCGCTCTAATATCTCCGACGAAACTATATAGTTCTGCGGACATTAACCAGCCGACAGTCCGAATGCTTGGAATCCAGGAAGGAAGGAACGTTGAGCGAGAATCCCAATCGATTCGCTATTGCCTTAATGAGTTGCGCCCGCGCATGCCTCTAGGGCTGCGCCTGTCGACTCTGAT